TCAGAGTTGACAAGTTGTTTTATTGTTTATCTTAAGTTCATTTCTTTTCCGCTAAGCTCAACCAGGTATAGACTATTAGGCCATGTACATAAGCAAGTTCAAAAATTATGCAGCATAATAATAAAGTAGTGAGGTAAGTCCACTGTACGAGAGCAGTCAGAGAACTTTCTTCCATAACGGAYCAAAGCAACTTTGATAATGTGACCGCAATGAAGAATGCAAAACCGTCTTAGCATCCATTGATTTTGTATCAGCATGACAGTTTCTAAATAAATCCAATACTTTGGAAAACATTCATAGAGTTTTATATTTAGCAAGATTGCACCATAAGACCATAATTAGGAATGGCGTCATATTTTCCTTATTCCCTCCATTAAAAGGGTTTTATTTTTCTGGAAGAAAAATGTAATGACTTAATGGGAATTGAACCCATGACTTCTGGAGTCAGCTGTGATAACCTTTTCACCATAAGTAAAGGTCCTCCTTGGTCTTATCTAGCTAGGGTTTATATGATTTATATATGTTACTAGCCTGGTACGAATCAAGGCAACGCTGGTATTTTTAAGTGATAGCAAGCATGATATTCAATACCTTAACCATAATTCATTATTGCATTGTACATTTTTTTTGTTTCTTTGTTTATTAACTCCTACGACGAAATGTTTTGTAACATACATGATATAGTATGAACCACTTTTWAAAAAATCATACCGGGTTAGTCCCAGGGAAGTTTTACTTTCTCAGTAAGGGTGATATCAGAGACTTGATTCAACGAGCAACTATTAATGCACCCACCCAGCATGATGAGTGCCACCCGACTGGATCACAAACTAAGAAGACAATATCTACAAGAAGCACTAACTTCAAACCAAATTTAAAGTGATTACCTATCAAAATGATGTTTCCAAACCAAAATTGAAATCATTGAAAAGCATTGAAGTTACACCGCTAACAGAAAAACAGACATTTTTTAAGAAGCATCATCACCAACAGAGGGGACAACAACACTACCACTAAAAAAGTTAACAAGACCAACAAAATCAATAACAGATAGAATTAGAAAAAGAAAGATTTATGTGATGAGAGGAACACACCGAACAAACTACTTTAGTTAATGCTACTTTTACGTGATGAGAGGAACACACCGAACAAACTCCTTTAGTTATTGCTACTTTTACGTGATGAGAGGAACACACCGAACAAACTACTTTAGTTAATGCTACTTTTACGTGATGAGAGGAACAC